CAGTGATCCATCTCAGTGAACAAGCGAGGCGCCACCGTCCCTATTCAGCTTAAACAAGGCATGCTCGAGATGCAAGGCGTGCAGCTCTCTGGCCTGCTTCTCGTGCCATAATGGGCTGTCCATCATTCTCCCTTCGCCTGCACTCCGCCCTTCCCCCATCCTGTCCCAAAGGAGAGGGACGCAGCTGTGACGGGATGCACGAGTGTGCAGATTCCCGGCCACCAACACCACCGCCAAACCCCTCTTCAGCATTCACATCGCTTGGTCATTGGACAGCGGGGGAGGGACAATATCTACACATGCGTTCGAGAGCTCCCGTCCAGTCCTGGGCCGGCCTGCCACACCAACCGTGTGGTTGATGCCCCCTCCTTCTCTCCGCAAACCCCGCCGACCAGTCATCTCACAGCAAACCCTCACGGCCATTTTGGTCTAGAGGTCATTTTCCTATCTATCACTCCTAGCTCGCCACCAGCTTACTACAGGCACAAATATGGATGCTCAGGTAATACAGGCCCATCACCGTTCGGCGACACCTCTTCCTAATGGGGGCATGAAGGTGTGGACCAAGGTGTGGCTTGCATCCGGCCGCGCCTCCTGCCGAATCTGCCAGGAACACAACCCTCCAGTCGGGATGGGCAAGGGCGGGAAGGACAAGATGTTGGGTGGGCCCAGAAGCTTGCTTCTTGGCTCACTGGGCCGAGTGATCCAGTGATTCATCGACTGGCTGAGCGGCCACGAGCTGTTGAAATTTTACTTCCCCCCCCACACTTCCCCATGATGTTGATATTGGATGCTTTGGTACCAGGTGACGGGAATATTTGTCGTCAAAATACTGTTGAGTTCTGCCGGGCTGGAGGAAATTTGCCATGCTCCTTCACGCAGGGGCCGGGCCTGGCCGAGGGCGCAGCGGCAGACGTTGAGGTCCAATCGATGACCCGTCCATCTCCCGAGACGCTGGGCCTAGAACATTGCTCGTCTATCTTGGATGTTGCGTCATCTCAGCCATGGTGAGAGAATCTGCGCTGATCAGGTCAAAAGCCCCCCCTGAACGTTCTACGGATATTAAACCGGCTGTCTGCCTCTGTGCTGATCGTTTCCAAATGGGTAGACGCGGGTGTAGCATCGTTCGGTGTCCATGGGCTGAAGTTGCGCCGACCGATTGAGAAACATGGGAGATGAGCTGTATCGGAAGTTATGCTCCCCCGAAGAATTTTTGGGTTATGGCAACGGTTTCTCTGCAAATTGCGCAAAGAGGTGGGTAAAGTTTGTGAGGAACAGATCTTGAAAATTAAAATAAAAATAAAAACAAAAAGCAAAGAGAGGGAAACATTCCATGCGACTATCAGCCCGCAGATGAGGGGTGCAGCAAAATGGAGGCTACGCAGTACACCGGTGAGGGACCGGCCTTTCTTTTTCCTGGCTGTCGTTAGCCGGCAAGGCGAGCTCCGGCGCGCGGAGCAAGGTTCCACACCGGTGGGCATGGGGAAAGCCTGCCCCCAACCTTGGACGGGAGGCGGCAGCTTCGGTCGGAGGACGGCGGCGTGTTGCTCGCCTCCTTGCTTCTCGGTCTGCCGGGGCTGGTCGCAGCGGGCGGGGGCCCAAGCGGTGCGTGCGAGCGAGCGAGCTGCTCGGCAGAAGCCATTCCAGCCAGCTACCTGGATACCGAGCCCCGCCCGCCTTTCTCTCACGATGGAGTCATCATCTACATGCGAGGTGCCGTCTGAGATTGGTGGTACCGGTCAGGTCTGGCGCGGGGTTCGTGAAAGTGAGATGTGATGAGAGACGTCGGTAGGTAAGAGGCAAGGGGTAACGAAAGCTTTCTTGGGAACAGGCAGGCTGTATCTTTCGTCATACCAGTACCCTTTCGATGAAGCGGAGAAAGAAGAAGGCATGATACGGCTAAGGACAGATCGGTGACCATGCCGGAGGTCTTTTCAGGAGACCAAGTTGAGCTAATCGATATACCCTTGTCAAGTGCCTCATTCGTATAGAGCGCGGACTGGTTTGCCAGATTTCGGAGAAGCTGTGCGTGCCATGGAGAGGTTCTTACCGAGAGCTTGCGGAGTCTCTCTGCCTATTGTGGAGATGAAGCTATTGAAGCATCACCGCGACGACACATGATGGGATGAGAAATATCTTCGGCGAGCTGCTTCATCAGACCCGGCAGGCGCTACTGGAGCACATCGAGCAAGCAGGCTATCGTAGACAGATCATCGTTCCCTCGCTAGAATACTCGAGACGGAGCATAGTTCCAGTTCTTGTTAAGAATGCTTCTACAGAAGAGCATAACCGAGTAGGCGAGACTAGACAGGTTGGCATGTCGCACCAAGCCGCTAGTTGCACGAACACAAAGCCTGACGGTGGGTTGACATACCCGTGTCTTTTTATTGCAGCCAGCCGCCGGTTAACGCGCCACGATCATGCAATCGTCGGGTTTCGGCCGTGCGGTCTGGCCAAGTGCCGTGTTACGGTCTTTGTCTTGCGTGTCTCGCCGTCGTCCGGGTCGATGGCAATGTCTGGCCTGTTGGGGAACCGTTGTTTTGATTCACATCGCAGTACCACGTTCACAAGGATTATGATGTCGTTTTTGGGAGGCTGAGGTACGCTTGCACTTGGCAAAATCCCATGCCATTGGAAGTACGATCGTAGGATCTGGGAATGAAAACTAGATCGGTGTTTCACGCTTTACAAGTATTGCTGGCAAGGGGAGTCAGTACAGGCAGTATTCAGAATGTGCTTTCGTTGACGCAAGTTGAAACATGTATAGCGCAAGCTGTTTGATCACGACGTCCTGCAAGATTAGAAGGATGATTGAGCTGGATATTTTACAGGACCTTCCTCCTAGCAGTGGTTGACCAAATTTGGGGATCTGAAAGTTTCCTGTCATTATCCGCTATTGATTCTCACGCAGAATCTGAAGAGCATCAAGTGGAATGTTATTTGTCCAACTGCACTTCGGCTTCCCTGGTCGGCTATGACTGACTGACACAAGGTCAGCTACTTCATCATGTGATGTGATCCCGCGGTCAAAAGCATCGACACCTACCTCTCAACCCACGATTTTCGCTGGGAAGTAAAGAGCATCGCAAATAATGACCGTTCCAGGAACAAGATCAAGTGAGGTTCGGGGCATAGATATCCACAGACACAGTGAAGATAAGGGCAACAGAGGTGCTGGTGAGTGAGAAAGAGCCCTATTAGGCTTGAAAACACCCTAGTTTTATCAGTAGTGACTCTCGACACATGCGATTGCTTCCCAGTGGACCAAAAATGGAAGAGGCCGTATAAAGAAACACGCCTCATACTCCTGATCAAGTAACAGAAGTCATTTGGGCGCGAGGAGTCGCTACTCACTCGCGTGTCAACATCGAGATACAAGTTTGGTAACCGAATGAATACCCAAAGAGACGTTTACTGGCTGCACCAAGTGTTCCTACTAGATTACGAGTATATCAGGAGCTATGAGATACAAGAAGCAATTTCTATTGCCGTGATCTTTGCTGAAGGTTTTCATGTCTTCAGATCTACGAGCCAGATGTAGGTTCTATGAAAGCAGTAAGCATACAGACCCAGCCTTCGAAATGGCTTTTCCACAAAGAGAAACATAGAGTAGCCTGATGGGGGCCTTTCAGAAAAAAGAATGAATGAAGAGTACGACTCGGCAACGAAGCGTGCTTGGATATCCATGCACTATAAGAAACGTATAGCGAATTCTCTTGCCCAAGAGGTACCCTGGTGTATTTGGTACGAAGTGTAAGTACACGATATCAGTATACACAATACGTGTCATTTACGCGCCATTATCTGATGTGATACTGTTCTGATCCACTATGTTCAATTCCAGTTTGGACGTTCTCGGACACTACACATATGAAAGCTGGAAATGCTAGTCACTAAGCGATAATTTGACGGTGGAATTGGAGATCCCCGAAACTTGATTCGACAAGTAAAGGAAAAAGGAAAAGAGATTCTACATTGGATAAGATGGTTCCGAGGGACACACATTGATGGGTCTTGACGAAATTTAAGGAGTAAGTACGGGCTCTTCGCTGTTAAACGGAGACGAGAGACGTCAGATCAATGACAGCAACAAAAGGGATGTTGGATGTTGAAAATGAGCCTAAATGCGTGAGGACGAAAGTCGCGAAAAGACGTTGTCGGTCGAAGGCAGATGAACTCGAAGTCAAGCTGACATATTTGACGTTGACTTTGAAGCTCCTGGCAATGACCAAGTCGAAAATGCCTGAAAGATTACCCGGACATCCCCCAGGTATCGATTTCGCAAATCCGTGGTCCCGTGCAGATGGTTACATCGAGCCAGATACAAGCCACCAAAAGCATTTCACGCGATCTCCTTCAAAGTCCCAGCAAGTTTTCCTACTCGACGGATCAAACCCAACGCCCAAGCCTTTGCGTCTCGTCAGTGCCCAACGATGGGATCAGTCAAATAGATAAAGGAAGCTTTCTAGAGAAGCTCTAACCTAAGCCACGCGCCCGATAGCTGGTCGCCTTCCCGATACATCAGGAGAACTGGGAAGTTCGTATCTGTGGGCAGACAACCTTGAGACCCCGACCCCTGAGAACTGACAAACGACTTGGCACATCAATATTAGTTTAGAATTAAGCTTTAGACTCTAGCCCTCGACAACAAGCTTATAATCCAGGATCGCTACCTGCAGGGGCAATATCCTGTTGTACTGTTTCAAAACTTTGTTCATTTCTGGCACGTACGTGTCTGCCTTTTGTCTATGAGCGTCATCCAATCTAGGTATATCCTCCTCATATCACCAGAACGAAGCCAAGAGAAAAGCGCCGTTGATGAACAGACCCATGCCCCTTCCATCGCGTAGGTGCCGCACTCACGCATGCTGGTTAATCGTGAGCCAGGAGAAGCATCCAGATCCTACTCCCAAGACGATGCGCCATACCAAGAAAAGGCCTCGTGTCGGTTCGCCGACAGGGCCGCCATTCATTAGAAAATTCAACAGAACCACCCCATGCTAGTAAACACTACCCCTGATGCTACGATCCTCCTTTTCAGCACGGGCCAGGTCATCGTCGTCCGCTTCGGAACCCAAGTCACTGCTGTGGGCGTCTCCGAGGCGGTTTGCGCGTGCTCCTCGACGCATGCCCTCCTTCTCCGACACCTGTTCTTCCTGAGTTTGTGTTGTGCCCCCATTCGTGCTGCTGTCGGCAACGCCGTTGTCACATCCGTTGATTCCGTTCGCGCTGTGGCCGGTCCCGTTGGAGAGGGCCAGGGCCTTTACTTTGGCGGTGACGGCCGCAATCTGTGGTCTGTGGCCGTCCTCCTCCGATGAATCTGTGTCGCTGCCTGCCACAGACGTCCGTCCCGAAAACGTGCCGCCAAAATCACGGCCAGCATGAAGGTGCGGCGAAATCATGCTGCGAAGACGGTCTTCGGCGGAGATGAAGGATGGAGTGCCATCCGGGGACGACACTACCTCTTGGCGGGATCGGCTAACGTCGATCTGCGGAGGTCGGTTATCGTTGTCCTCGTCAGAGCTGTAGCCCTGCTCGATTCGCTTCGTTCTCCGGCCAGGCGTGGGTGACTGGTGGCGGGAGTGGCCGTTAGCAACACTGTGACCGTTTGCTGCAGTCTCATCCCTCTGGCGGAGGGCGTCTAGATCTTCGCGTTTCTGGTAGTGGCTTTTGTGGTTGCATCCGTTAGGACAGCCACCCCAGCGACGCGTCACAGTGAAGGTCTTACTGCGCTCTAGAAGAGTTGACGCTTTTGCGTCTTTGGGCGTCTTTTCTTGGTTTCCCTCCACCTCAGTCTTCTCCTTTTCCTCTTTCTCCTTGAGCTGGGCACGCTCCTTGCGCAGGTCAGACCACGTTCGGAGCTTGTTCTCGAGGATGTATTTGCCGCTCTCTTCCTGCTTGCGCATGATGAGAAACTCGCAGTGGTTCACGTTGCGCAGGTCCTCGAAGTACTCGACGGTGAAGTGATACCACTTCATCAGGAAGACACGGGACATGAGGCCATGGGTAACTATGCGTTATGGATTAGCTTAGTTACCTGACCGTTGGTCTGAAGACTTACCGAGCACGCAAACGCTGGCGAAGTCGTTCTCTCCGAACTGGCGCCACAAGCTCTCGTTAAAGCCACTAACTCTGTCGTAGGCATCTGCGGCGCTCTCGCCGTTGGGGATGCGGTAGAAGAAATGACCGTAGTCTGCCCTCTCCTGCCACATGCGCTCCATTTCGGCGGAGCAGGGCTGGAAGTTTCCGAAGTCCTGCTCGCGCAAGCGGGGCTCTTCGTAGACCTTAATATTGGAACGCTTGAATGGTGAGGGGTCTTCTTCGTCCGACGTCAGCGTGGAGAGGATGCCCTCTGTCGTCTCGCGAGTACGGCGGTAGGGGGATGTGAAGAAGTGGAGGGTATCATCGGCTCGCAGAAGCTTGCGCAGGCGTCGGCCGGCGTCGTAGGCCTGTTGCCAACCATCTTGTGTCAACTTCACACGGTGGTCAGGTATCGTCTGGTGGATGTCGCGGTTCTCTGTTCAGAGAGCTTTGATTAGCAATCCGGGCGCACACACGTCTCGGACGAAGGGAATTGGCATACTGTTGCCCTCGGACTGGGCGTGTCTGATGAGGATAATGAGTCTCGGCTTCGCCATGTTGTCAACTTTTGACAGGTTGTGGTTTCGCAGAATTTGTAAAGCGCCACCTGGTATTGTTCAAGCGAAGGGACAGGCGTCGGTGCGATGGTTACAAAATGATGTGGTGGGACGAAGGAGTTTCTTATGGCCGGGGTATCATTCGGGGTGTCGAAGAAGGGCAACAAAATTCAGCCGCAGGTCGCAAAAGAGTAGCGTTGAGAACCTTGTTGACCGGGAAGAGTGAAGAGAGGAATGAGGCGGGGCAGGAGTTTGGCGGTTGAGAGGAAAACCTTAGGAGGGGCTGCCGTTGTATTTGTATCGCCTCATGCCAACCTTAACCTTACGGACAAGGTCTGAGAAGGGTGGTGCTTGCTTGGGAAAGGCGTCAACGGATTGTCAACCAACAGGCCCTGAGAGGTTGAGATGGGATGAGTTTGATTTAGGTACAAGATACGTAAAGCGTAGCAAGGAGTAGCTAAGAGTCACAAGATGGGATTGTGTGTGTGTGCGCGAGTGCGCGAGTGTGTATGTGTGTGTTGGTTGTGTGACGGCGACGAGAGCGACATGGAAGAGTGCGGTGACTCTTTTTGACAGAGGTCGCCTCCTGTCAGGCACTAATTGCTGCTGCACTGTACATCAATCGTTGGCGTCTTTCTTGCGTGCCCCCTTCCGTGTGAGAGGTATTTTTGGTTCCCGTCCGCCGCCCGGTGGCATGGTACTTGTGCCACCACCACAGGTACTCCATACAAGTCGGTCGGCCGTAATTTTTTCTGGCATGCTCAGCAGCAGCAGAAACGTCCAAAGGACCCCTCGTCCCACTGAGCGGCGGCTTTTTTGACGGGCTGGTTTTCAATCTGAAGCCCTGTCTTTCCGGGGACAGGCAGGCACCGGGCATCCCATCTGTGTCCATCGCTCCCCTGCTGCCCCTGCTGCGGCGGGGTACATCGGGGCATCCCAACGTCCCAACCAGCCAACCAGCCAACCAGACGTCAGAGACAACACTTTTGAAGGCCCGGCAGCCGCCTTGACACAGGGAATCCGCAGCCCCTGATTGGCACACTGGCCCCCCGATAAGCGGCGAGGCTGCTCTCCATGCCCCACCCTCTCAGCGGCATGGCGGCGGCACTTGCACTGCACGATGCAAATGCCCTCTCCAGCTTTTTTTTTTTTTTTTTCTCCCCCCCCCCCCCCTTCCAGCTCCTTCACGCTGTGTCGACGTCGCTACAGTCAATCTTGAAGCAAAAGACGAGAAGTCTCAGTGGACTGCTTTACTCACAGGGCCCCACACGTCCTTCTGCTAAAATAGGTAGACAGACACTCGATTCTTTTTGTCCACTTGCCGCCCAACGCCCTGCCGGTGCAACCCCATACTGCGCCGTCTGTCTCTACAACATTCTGCGCGTGTCACTCATGATAGACGCGTGCCTGGAACCGCCCATTCCCGCAACGCCGCACCGTCATTCGACAACGTTCCCCACCGCACCCACACCATTCCACATGCTTCTCGTTTTCCATCCTTCAGTCTTCCACTGACGCGAGGAAACATACGAACGACAGCCGCCGCAACTACCCCCGGAACTCTCCCTCAAGCTTAGCCGCCGTCCGCTCCAACACAACAGTGCCGTGCCACCTCCAACAACGTGCCAAGTACGACGAACGACAATCCCTTCCGTCTTGTGTCTCCGGCGCGACGACTTTTGCACTTACGGAAATTTCCGACCGCCCTACGGCGCCAACACAGGAATCCAGACAGAGAAACAAACAATCCCAACGACGCATCCATCTCTCGCGCCCGTCCGACTGCATAGCAGATCTCTGTTCGGTTGCCTCCCAGCATCGAATCAGCCCATTCCCGACCTGGTCTCATCCCACAATCATACGACCCCAATCTCAACGTAACGCGCCATCTTTTGCTGGACCATCCCCAACACCCCGCAAATACCACCACCGCCTTCGCAAATCTCCCACATCTCTCTCCCACCTGCCAGAGCACCAGCAGCAACCATGTCTGGCGAGGGCCCCGAGTCCATCCCCACCTCCGCCGACCCGCGCAGCCGGCGCCCGGTCAAGAAGCGCGCCCTCACCCCCGTCACCGAGCACGCGAAGCAGCTCGACGCCCTCTTCTCCAAGCCCGACCAGGAGATCCGCATCCCCCCACCCCCCGGCGCCGTCGCCAGGCGCGCCGTCAATGCCCCGCCCGAAATCGTGACTAATGTCCAGGGCTCCAGCGCCGGAGCCGGCTCGGGCGAGTTCCATGTCTACAAAGCCAGCCGTCGCCGCGAGTATGACCGACTGCGTGCCATGGACGAGGAGGTGAAGCAAGAGAAGGATAACGAGGAGTTTGAGCGTCAAAAGGCCGAGCGCGAGGCCAAGGACGAGGAGCGCACACGCAAGAACAGAGAGAAGAGAGAGAAGAAGAAGCAGAGGGGCAAGAAAGGCCCTGCTGCAGCCGGCCCAAAGGCGCCGGCAGTGCCAAGCGGTGGTGCAGACAAGCCGACTTTGGCGGAAACATCTACAACCAAGGCAGACGGCGATGCCAAGGAATACAGGGACGGCGGTAGAAACACGGAGTCAAAGACCACCGCTACAGCTCAACCCTCCGGTCTCGTCATCCACGACGACGACTGATTCATCCATGATGTTCATGGGCTTGAGCTTTAAAGCTTGGCTTGGCATCCCCAAAAATAACTTCGGATCAAACGGGTGGGTCCAGGATTGACAGACTGTGCAGTGACAGGAGACACAAGCAGGCAGAGCCCCGATCAAAGCATCAAAGCTTTTTTTTTTTTTTTTTTTTTTTTTTTTTTTTTTTTTTTTGAAAAAAATGCCCGAGAACGTCGTCGTCGTCTAGGTATTTCTAATCCCATGTCTATGCCTTGGTATAGGGTATGGCTTAATATTTTCCCCCCTTCATTTTTCCCCCTTCATCATCTCTTCTCGTCGCAACACACGTTGTAGTTTCCCACTATCACCAGAATACCAGCCGACTGACTTCATCAGGCATCTTATTCGTCACCACCACCGTGCAGACCGTTGCCTACTTGCGCAGCCTTTCTCGCACTGCAAATATCGTCGACTCTGAGGAGCAGGCAGGCGGCCTGGTAAACGTGTTAGTTGATGTGTCGTAAAACCTTGTAATATCTTGTAGATGTAAACCACATACCTCGACAGCCGTCTTAATGCTCTGCAACTTAATAGCCTCCGGCTCCCAGACGCCATATTCCTTCATGTCCGCAATCACACCGCTGTCTCCGTTGATACCCCAGGAGTGCTTGCCTTCGGCGTGCTTGGCACGCAGATCCGTCAGGACTCTGACGGGGCTGGCGCCGGCATTCTGCACCAGGGTACGGGGGATGACTTCGAGCGCATCAGCGACAGCCTTGTACGGCCACTGCTGGACGCCCTCAACACCCTTTGCGAGCTGGCTCAACCGCACAGAGACGGCCATCTCGGTCGCACCACCGCCAGGAGCAAGTCTGGGGTTGAACATGACGTTACGGGCGACACCCATAGCGTCCTGGAGGTTACGCTCAATCTCGTTCAGCACGTCCTTGGATGGGCCTCTCAGGAGCACTGTGCAGGCCTTAGGGTTCTGGCACTTGGTCAGGAAGGTGAAGTACTCGTCGCCAATCTTCTCAATCTCGAACAAGCCGCAGAGAGTACCGACGTCGGAGTCCTGGAGATCGTCGACACGGTTGACGATGGTGGCGCCCGTGGCTCTGGCTATTCTGTTGTTGTCCGTCTTGCGGACACGGCGGAGCGCGGTAACGTTGGCCTTCACAAAATAATGCTGGGCGAGATCTGCTAGACGTTAGCCAAAACTACTCCCTGAATCCCGCTTCTTGAGATTGTGTACCTGAGACACCCTTCTCAGTGATGACCAAGTCAGGCTTCAGAGCGAGGACGGCCTCGCACATGGCCTTGACCTGCTCTTCCTCGATCTGCAAGATACGGTTCCAGTCCTCCTCCTTGGAAATCTCAATGTTGGTTTGCGACTCGCCCTTCTTGTACTCCAAGGGGCAATCGAGGAGGACAATTCTGGGGTTCTCTATTCTCCGGCGCATCTTGGGGTGGGTGATGTCCTTGTTGAGCATAACACCGTCCAGCACTCTGCTGTCCTCGATCTCGCCGCCGGGAACCTTTTCCACACGCGCGTAACGCTTGATGTCGACCTCGGTTTTTCCGTTGCCGGCCTCCCACGTGACAGTGCGGACCGCCTTGAGGGCGAGGTCGCACATCAGGTCCGACCATCTCGAGACGAACTTGGTCCCGATAGAAGAGGAGATGAGGCCGCGCATGGCCTTGTCGTCGTTAACGTCGATGGGGAGGGAAATGTCGTCGATGATCTCGAGGGCGTCCTTCAGCGCGCGGCGGAAGGCAGCGATGATCTGGACGGGGTGGATGTTGCGCTCGAGCTGGGGCAGGGACTGGGCGAGGATCTCACCAGCTAGGAAGTGTTAGTTACTCTTGCTTGATAAGCAGCATTTGTAGTGCGCGCGGATTTCGAAGCTTTGCTCACCCATGATTATGACCGTCGTGGTGCCATCGCCAACTTCCTCGTCTTGCGTCCGGCTGAGCTCGATCATGCTCTTTGCTGCGGGATGGGAGACCTCGATTTCTCTGAGAATGGCGTGGCCATCGTTTGTGAGGACGATGCCTCCCATAGGGTCCAAGAGCATCTTCAACATGGCCTTGGGGCCGAGGCATGATCGAATAATGTCGGCAACGCTGGGAACGCGGGGTCAGTTGGTTCGTACGGCGGTGTATTCGAACAGGACAGACGTACGTCTTAGCAGCAGCGATGTTGGACATCTGGGCCTTGCGACCCGTCTGCCGCTCACCGCTATTGGTGTCTAAGGAGAGGGATATGGTCAGCACCACCGCGTAACATGGGGGTTAAGCTCATCAAGCTCGGCGGGAGGAGGGGCTGCAGTACTCATAACCAGCACAGGGGCTTGCATGATGGGCGACGACAAATTCAGAAAAATCTAATGGAAATCCGGATTGTCTGTGGGAGT